AGGTGCATTTTGCACCTGACTATCAACCACTTGCAACCAACTGAAGATACCTGGACACCAGGATGGTGCCTGACATCTCCACCATCTGGAGGTGCATGCCTGGATCTTGACTGTTTTCACATACTAATACCACATCCTATGTAATTCCATCAGTTATATTTTATCTGCACAATCAGAATGGTTTTCAGAAACCAAAATGCTTTTTCTTTGCAGCCTGAGCTGGAGCAGTGGACATTATAGTTAATGGTTGTCACTTGTCTTCATTTACCCCACCCCACTGCCCTGCTCACAACTGTGAAGAATATTCCTACGCTACGAACTGTCTGTGTCACCATTAAGAAAAAGAGGTAGGAATAGGCCAATGTGGACTGTCTATGAATAAAGTGATTTTTTCCCTTTTATGTTCTCAAAGTTCTTAACCTAGTTCAAGGTTGTCATCTGAACTAGCCAGATGTTTAACTGAGAATCAATCAGTATGTCCATCCTTTGAAAAATAAGACTTTTTAGAGCCATCTTGCCCAAAAATGGCAACCAGATATTCCATTTGGGCAACTGTAACCTTGGCTTAAGGAGCCATTTTGTGCCTAGCTTATATAACTGAATTTCTAACACTGCTCACTACAATCTAGTGATAGCTAGGCATTTACACATATAAGTAGATGCTAGTGCACCTGTAATATAATAAACAGATTTGCTTAAATGCATCTCATTTTGCATCTGGCTATCAGACACTTGCAACCAAGTAAAGATGCCTAGGTGCCAGGATGGCGCTTGAAGTCTTCTTGGGGTTTTTTTTTTTTGGCGCCTGACATCTCTACCATCTAGGATGCATATGACTGAAGCTGTGTCCCAATAATAAAACAAGGCTGACATTTGAGTTAACTGGTTTAGGATTGGTAAAGGCACAAAATGCTTACCTTACTCTCTGTAAATTCCAAACAAAGCAAGTTATTTTTACAATCAAAGAGGAAAGGAATTCTCTTTAGTTAAGAAGGGTAGAAAAAAAGACAAAGGAAGTCTCATCATTATAAGCCCCAACATTCTATAGAATATCTGAGGAGCACCACATTGTCTGTCCTACATGATCTACCCATTGTGGTCTATGAATATGCCAAATTTCAAACTGATCTTTTGTGTGGCACAACACTAAGAATGAAAAAGTTTTTCATTCTGGATTGGAACTGTAACATGAATAAGAAACATTTATTTATTACTTCCATCACATATACAGTGGTGCCCCGCAAGACGAATGCCTCGCAAGATGAAAAACTCGCTAGACGAAAGGGTTTTCCGTTTTTTGAGTCGTTCCGCAAGACGAATTTCCCTATGGGCTTGCTTCGTTTGCGAGTTTGTTTCCTTTTTCTTAAAGCCGCTAATAGCCGCTAAACCGTTAATAGCCGCTAAGCCGCTAATAGCCGTGCTTCGCAAGACGAAAAAACCGCAAGACGAAGAGACTCGCGGAACGGATTAATTTCGTCTTGCGAGGCACCACTGTATGCTGCCAAGATACCTGAGATTGCTTTGGCACTAGAGTTGTTTGGTGGTGATAGAGCAGTCTGGGTGGTATAAAGAAGTGAGTAGAAGCACCCTCTTCCACAGGGGTACCGACTTAAATAAAATATTGGGGTGGGAGCAGGTAAGCCCCACCATGCATAACCAAACACATGACACAGCACACATACACTATTTGAATGGCAAAGTCCATCAACGGGGGTGGGGTGGGGGGTGGACCCCTCAAATATTTTATTACAGGGCCCAAACGGACCTCAGCCCCAAGAAGCTGGCTCTCATGCTCTTCCAACACTTCTTTTCTTCAGACTGTAAACTCACAACATGGGCTAAGATTTGTGAGCTCAGTTGTCTAACTTGACATTCATGTAACTTCCAGTGAGTGACTTTTAAAGTAGAAAAGGCATGAGCCTAAAAATGGACTGAAATACAGGGCACACACACCCATTTAAGTGGTGGTTACATTCTGAGGCACCGTGCATGTTAGTGAAATCATATTTTTGAAACACCATTGAAAAAGCCTGTGCACACACACACCCCTTCCACCCCTTTTTTGGAATGTTTTAAGTCACTTCTGGGTTCGATGTGATGCACGTACAGTGGCACCTCGGGTTACATACGCTTCAGGTTACATACACTTCAGGTTAGACTCTGCTAACCCAGAAATAGTACCTCGGGTTAAGAACTTTGCTTCAGGATGAGAACAGAAATTGCGCGGTGGCGGCGGGAGGCCCCATTAGCTAAAGTGGTGCTTCAGGTTAAGAACAGTTTCAGGTTAAGAACGGACCTCTGGAACGAATTAAGTACAGTGGTACCTCCAAGACGAATGCCTCGCAAGACAAAAAACTCGCTAGACGAAAGGGTTTTTTGTTTTTTGAGCTGCTTCGCAAGACGATTTCCCCTATGGGCTTGCTTCGCAAGACGGAAACGTCTTGCAAGTTTGTTTCCTTTTTCTTAACACCGTTAATACAGTTGCGACTTGACTTCGAGGAGCAACTCATAGAACGCGGTGTGGTAGCCTTTTTTGGGTTTTTTTAAGACTTTGGTGATTTTTGAAGCTTTTCCAAAACTTTCCCGACACCGTGCTTCGCAAGACGAAAAAAATCGTAAGACGACAAAACTCGCGGAATGAATTGATTTCGTCTTGCGAGGCACCACTGTACGTAACCAGAGGTACCACTGTATGTACAATTGCACACCTATTGAACATGCATAAGTAAGGGGTTGCCTGCATAAATAATTACCGTATTTTTCGCTCTATAACACGCACCAGACCATAACACGCACATAGTTTTTAGAGGAGGAAAACAAGAAAAAAAAAATTCCAAATGAAACAGTGGATGTATGATTTTTGTGGTTCATGCTGTGGCCACAGACATGTGATCTGACAGTGAGTTTGGAGTAGCCCAATGCAAAAATCCTGAGAATCCATGTGGATCCATGCTTTGTAACCACGTTTTTGCACCATTGCAGCCCCAGGCTACAGTGGGTGCGTGATTTTTTTGGTACAGACTGTAGCCATGGACATGTAATGTGATCTGATGGTGAATTTGGGGTGACCCAATGCAAAAATCCTGAGGATCCATGTGGATCCGTGCTTTGTCATCACGTTTTAAATGGGGAGGGAAGGAAAGCAAAAGTCCCCCCCCCAAGCCAGACAGGATATACGAAGTATGATTTCTTCTTTATTTACAGTACTGTATTTCTTTTTTGGCCACCTCTGTCACTGCAACCTTTGCTCTGTGCTTGCACACTTTTGGGCAATATGGCATGTAACACACTTTTTTTTATCTGCCAAGATGTAGAAAATCAATTTTAATGTCCCTATATAAAATGCCTAGTGAAGCAGAAGGGTATTACATCAGCCACTGTATTAAGGCTAAACGTTTGAAGAACAGCTCTCTATGGGGGGGAGACTAAATTCCATTTTCAATCAATTGTTATTGTGGCAGCAATTATCAGTGTATAGCACACAATGAGGAAATGAACTTTAAAATATATATAAAAAAAACATTCTCACGTTATACTTCTTCAAAGAAGAGTATTAGGCTTTTAATGAAGGGGAGAGGAGAGATGCTGTAATCCTCCTGGCTCAGGAGATTCTGATTTACCCAGCCACATGTAGAAAGTATAGATTAAGATATTTGATATACAGCATATAAATCCAGAGATTTCCATGTCTCACTCTGCAATCCAGCCTGCTGTTACGAGCAGGGAAGCAGGGTTTCTCTTCCAAACAAGTATACTGTCTCCCTCCAGCAGTACATTGCTTGGAGAAGCTGCAATTTGGAGGGGGCCTGGGGGCAGGGCTCTCTGCTTTTGGAAAAGAAATGAGAAACCTACCATTGTAAAGCAAAAGTCGTTCCCCCCCACCACCACCCAAGCCAGCCCTCTCTCTCTCTCTCTCTCTCTCCCCCACCTGCATGCTTTTCGGCTGCCTGCGAGTCCCTAGAGCACGGAGAGGAGGAAGTGGTGGGCTGGAGCCTGCACGCAGTGTGACTAGGGAAGATTAGGAGGAAGGACGTGATCATGTCCTTAACCCTCTGCTTGCCAGGAGGGCAGGGGATTCCCTGCTCTTTGTTGAGTTTGAGCAAACGCAGCAACAGAAGCGGGTGGGCAGTAAGACCCTGAGGCAGAATGCCGGAAAGCTTCTGTCTTCCCTCTTCCCTCCGCCTGCCCGCCCGATCTTATTTTTGCTTGATTTTTGCCTATTTTGCCCCTGCGCTCCGGCGAGTCAGCTCCAGGGACCACACATTCGCTCAATAACACGCACAGACATTTCACCTTACTTTTTAGGAGAAAAAATCTGCGTGTTATAGAGCGAAATTTACGGTAAGCAACCTATTCCTGCTCAAAATCTGTACTTTAACCATTTCCCAGATGCATCTTTTGCTGTTGCCTCTTTTAAAGTCTATGATATCTATAAAGGGATTATTTTCAAAAGTTACTACATATATTATCATTAGCATCATCAGCAATTACAACAGTACAGTCATACCTCGGAAGTCGAATGGAATCTGTTCCAGAAGTCTGTTCAACTTCCAAAACGTTCGGAAACCAAGGTGTGGCTTCTGATTGGCTGCTGGAAGCTCCTGCAGCCAATTGGAAGGTGGGTTCCAAAGAACGTTTGCAAACCAGAACACTCACTTCCAAGTTTGTGGCATTCAGGAGCCACAACGTTTGACTTGTAAGGTGTTCAGGATTCAAGGTACGACTGTACTAGGAAATAAGACTGCACACACCTCAAGCATTACCAGTACCACCCTCATCCTTTTCTGCAGCAGAGAAGACCTCCCCCTCCTACCCATTACTTACTGATATAAGTAATAAATAGGCTTGCTCTCTAACAAAGCTTCATAAGGCAATACAAGACCAGGGCTATATGAGGCATTTATGCAAGTCCAAGGCATTTTCACTCTCATCTGGATTTAAGGCTGGAAGGCAAAGGAAAAGTGTGGTGCACTAAGGCTAAGTTTCAAATCAGCAACTTGTGACACTGCACAGTATCATTTTTATTTTGCTCAGTTTTCACCACCAAAGTGATCTGCCTGGGGCACAAGCACACATTAAAGCATCAGCCTTGGTTTTCAATTTGCTGGCTTTATGCAGTCTAGGCCTACATGAAAGTCTCTTAAATCTGATTTTAAACGGACAGGATTTTTTTGATTCTTGAATAATGATTACAGTAAGCCTGCAACTTAAGTGCATTTAACTTTTGTGCATTCAGCTTTACGTGCGCAGCAATTTGTGTATATATGGGGGAAATGACACTGGCAATCCTATCTGCCACTGAACCAGGTGTGAAGCCCGGAATGTAACTCCTGCATATGTTGTGGGCTTACTGTAATGAATTTTGTATTCAAACACTAAAAAAGCCTTCCCCAACTTGGTACTCTCCAGATGTTTTAGACTACACTATAGTTTTCCATCAAGCCATGCTGGCTGGGGCTAAGGCAAGTTGGAGTCCAAAGCAATCTAGAGGACACTTGGTTGTGGACGGTTCCAATAACATAAGAAGAAAACTGGCAGCATAGTTTTCAAGCAAGAATCCAGCAGTTCAACACAAAGCCCTGTGCAAAAGAACACAGCTACCTCTCACATGTGTACTTACACTTTAAAATGTAAAATATAAATAAGTACCAACATTTAAAATTCCGCAACATTACTTTCAAGTTTACAATGTGTAATAAATTAAGTGTGATTTCTGGAACCAACGATGAAGAAAGTGTTTTATAAAGTCCAATATGATAAAATCAGCCCAACAGCGGGGGGAAATGTGGGACACCTCGTGTTTTTCTCTCAAGTCCTTAGTGAAGTCTAAGTAATGTTAGGAAAGAATAGATGTGGGTAGGAAGAAAGTAAGCCCCAATAGAATGAAAGGCAGTGCTTTGCCACGGTGTTTCCTTCATGCAGAGAAAAGGTGCAGTAGACTTAATGGAAAATGCAGGCTGGAAGCTAGGAGGACAGAGACTGAAGTGTCACTTCCATCAGCAAAGCAAACCTTCTTTGCAACACTTCTGTGAAAAACAAAAAAGAGTCGTCTAAGAACCATAGCTATACCAAAGTACCCTTGGTCATATCCCCTGACCTGAGGGACTGATCATTTCCTGTACCACCAGATGGAGGAGGTGATTCTGCTCCGGAGTGAGCAGCGGCCAGAGTTCCTTCTGCAGCACCTTGAGCGCCTCCAGGTCTTTCTCTTGGCAAGCCATGACAGCGGACTGCAGCAGCAGGAAGAGCTCGGAGGGCACGTAGCCCGGCGAGGCATCCAGGGCCTCCCAGGAGTACTTCTCGAGGGTCTTGGCGTGCTCGGGCATCAGCTTGGAAGGCGGAGGCTGGAGCAGCAGGAGAAGAAGGACGCGGGCCACCTCGCAGTGCAGCAGCTCGTCGAGGAAGGCTCCCGGCGGCGGGCTGACCGGAACGGAAGAAGAAGCGGCTGCGGCAGCCGAAGACGACGATCCACCGGCAGAGGGTCCTGTGCCGGCCTGAGCCATCAACTGAGCCTGAGTGAGCACAGCCAAAGCACCATCGTGGTCGCGGCAAAGCAGCAGGCAGGAGGCCACGTCGCGTAGGCAGCGCAGAGCCTCCAGGGGCAGCTGGGCGACCGCCAGGAGGTCGGCGGCGCGCAGGAGGGCCGGCACGGCTTGGCCCGGCTCTCCGCCGGAGCGCAGCTCGTTGCCCAGCTCGAGCCAAAGCCCGGCTGCCAGCGCGGGCTGGCCCAGGTCGAGGCGCAGGCGGGAGCCGAAAGCCACGCAGTTCTGGGCAGCCGGCAGGTGTTCAGACAGTCCCAGCCCGGGGCCTTGGCGCAGGCGGAGCTCCCGCTCGTGCTTGAGCCAGAGGCGCGCCGCTTCGCCCAGCGCCGCCGCTTCTCCAGGCGCGTGCCCGAGGCTCTGGGCGCAGCGCGCCACCGCTAGCTGGCACCAGGCCGCGTACGGGAGGCTCTCCTGGGCCCGCAGCTCCCTGGCCAGCGCCGCGAACTGCTCGCCCGCCTCAGACACGTTCGGCTTGCGCAGGAAGCGCCGGCGGAGCTTGGCCGACACGAGCCGGTAGCGGGTCAGGAAGTCGCCTCCGCCGCCCGATCCCGACCCAGATTCCCCTCCGCTGAAACCAGGCGACAGGCCGCCACCGCCGGTACCCGGGACGGACAGCATCTTCCCGACTCCTTCGGCTTCACCGACAGCTCTCCTATGCTAGGCCCCGCAGGAAATGGCGACAGAGGGTTGCCGGGCGACGGAACAGGAAGTGAAAAAAAGGCGTTGCTAAGGGCCGTGTAACCATGGCGACCGCGGAGGCAGCCGTTCCCATCCCTGGGCTCCATCTCTGGGCTCAGCTCAGCGCACTCCTACCTGTACTTTGCTTTCCAGGCGCAGATCCAGGTGGAACAAAAAGGGAAAGTTTTCACAGGGAAAACGCTGGGGCAAAACAACCAACAACATACCAGACGCAGCACTTTAAATCACGGAACCTGTGCCTAGAAACACAGCACAAAATGATGTGTCTTTCTGGGGGAAATGACTCTTTAGCGCTCAGTCGGAGCAGTTGAGTTTTCCGCGGGATAGCCGTTTTCTCCTGTTTGAAAAAAAAATTCCTTCCAGTAGCACCTTAAAGACCAACTAAGTTAGTTCTTGGTATGAGCTTTCGTGTGCATGCACACTTCTTCATCTGTAACTGCTCCTGTTTGAAGTTAGAGTGGGTTTTCCGTGGGAAAGGAGCAGGGCAAGGGGGGGGGTTATGGGAATTGTAAGGTTTCAAATATAGAATGAACGTTGGTAACTGCACAAGGTAAACACACATACATAAGTATATGAACCACATATCTAAAACAGTACAGGAAAGCAATCCAAAAGCCATCTTGACTCTCCTAAAGACTCTAAATATTTCCTCTGCCTCCTTAATTCCCCTTGCCTGAGAACATCAGGGGAAGTTCCTGAAAGGATTCCTCTCCTACATCTATGAACCTCCTTTGTATTGTCATTGTCTGCCCAGATGCTCCGCATTGAGGGATGGGCATCCTGATTGTTTCATCAAATGCTAATGTTTTGTGTAAACTGTGTCTCAGAAAAGTAAAGGACCCCTGACAGTTAAGCTCAGTCTCCAACGACGCTGGGGTTGCGGCGCTCATCTTGCTTTACTGGCCAAGGGAGCCGACATTTGTCCGCAGATAGTTTTTCCGGGTCATGTGGCCAGCATGACTAAGCCGCTTCTGGTAAAATCACAGCAGTGCATGGAAATGCTGTTTACTTTCCTGCTGGAGTGGTACCTATTTACCTGCTTGCACTTTGACATGCTTTCGAACTGCTAGGTTGGCAGGAGCTGGGACTGAACAACGGGAGCTCACACCGCCAATCTTCTGATCAGCCAGCCCAAAGCTTGGTTTGGTTTACACCACAGTGCCACCCGCATCCCAAACTGTGTCTGGAATTATGCAAAACTTGCTAAATCCTCAAGGATATCACACTTCAGCCTGCCTGAGCCACAGGAACCCCACCTTCTGTGAGATGTAATTTCTGACTGTTTGTAGAGGGGGTTTCTCCTCCACGCCAAAATGCAAACCCTTAAAATAGATGTTTCTTCTGGGTTTTGGGTCTCTTGCCTCCTTGCTAGGAGGGGAAGGAACTCTGTTGCAACTGAAAAATAAAGATCTGCCTTGCTTTCACTGCATCCTGCCACCATCCATTCATCTCTGACGGATCATGGACTTAGGGGACTCAGTCCCTTGGGGAGCTGGGCAGCAAAAGCCAACCACCCCTATTTTTTCTATATCAGGGGGAAATGCTGAGACCCGTTCTTTCTTGGCACTGGACAAGTGGAAGTGTGGCGGCACCATAAAGTGGCCTGGTCCTCTTAGGTTGCAGTTAGACATGTAGGTGATGCTGTGTTAGTTTTCCTGATTGCAACACTGGCACTTCTGTCTGAATTTATGTTCTCTTTGTGTTATCTATATTTTCTCTCTATATTTTAAAATATTTTTTATTAATATGTTGTGACAATGTATAACCAAAACCGTTATGCATCAAAAGTTCTTGCTTCTCATGCAAAATATAATAAAAAGAGGGAAGAAATGGAAAGGAAAAACAAGGAAATTGCATATGAAGAGATAAATAACATAATAAAAACTCCATCAAAGTGTGAATAAATTAAAAGGAAAAATATGATTTACTTTCTCATTCCAGAAATATAGAAACAAGACCTACCTTCCCCCAAAACTGTTGTGCCTCCCTGCAAACAATTAAGAATGGTATGCTGACATACTGTTCCAAATCTCATCACCTTACACATGTGATTTTTTTCTGCGTTAAGGGGGCTGCAAATAGATTTTTTGTGTAGAATCAAATAACACAGAAACGAGTGCTAAACATGCTCTGTTTTCTGGAACTAGTTTTCTCCTTGTGTTAAAGTTCAAAGAGAATGCCACAATTAATAGTTTGTTTCTTAATTTCATTTATATCCCACCTTTTTTCACCAAAGAGCTCAAGATAGCACACATAGTTTTCCACCTCCTCATTTAATTCCCACAACAACCCTGTGGTGTAGGTTAGGCTGAGAGGCAATGGCTGGGCCAATGTCACTCAGTGAGCTTCATGGCTGAGTGAGGATTTGAACCCTGATCTCCTTGGTCCAAGTCCAACCTAATCACTATACCACATTGTCTCTAATAATGTTAGGGAAACACTGGGGAAGTGGAATGAACTGCCATGTGAATGGAGTCTAGATGGGCCATTTGGCTGGTGCAACAGGCTCATTATGTTTGTGAGTGTGTGTTCACAACTGATAATTCTGTTATATTTGAATTGCGTTTATCCTTAATGCAATACTGTTGACAAATGGCTGAGATTCTACATACAGAAAACTGATGCAGGAATCTGGGGGTCTCTCAAAACTGTCAGTATTATGCAGGAGAGATTTAAGAGTGTACTAGAACTTAGCTTTCTACAATTGAAATTAATTAAAGCACTCTGGGTTTGTCCACACTTTTGCTTGACCTGTATTTTGATTATGTTGTGTAGCAATTAACTCCAAGACCTTTTCTCATTGCTCCACGACTGTGCCTTGTGAAAATAGGAACTTACTTGCTGAATTGGATGTTAATCAGATGTGCAGAAAATCTGAAGACAGATTTTGCTGGTCAACCTTCTGATTCAGCAGATAATATTGTTTTTTCCCCTAAGGCAGCTGTGGAACAATGAGAAAAGCTCTCAGACCCAGATAAACTGATCAGTACACAAATAGGGTAAAAATACAGGACAAGCAAATTTAAATAAATTGAATGATTATCTAGTTAAATTTGTTAAGTTAAATTAATTGAAAACAGCTTGCAGATACTTAATTGGCTTAGGATTTTATTTATGTTAAATGATGAATTAATATGTTTAATTCCATAAGGTGAAGATTTAAGGATGTTAATGTTTAAGTTAAATTTCATAAGAATTGGGATTTGGAAAACTGTTAAAAGGACATGCAATGAAATTCAACCAAGGGCAACCAAGGAAGTCACTTAACGAAGTTAATAAGTGTAATTTTCAATAAGGCTATGATTTATGTTTGTTTGTCTTGTGTGTTTGTTTGTTTGTTTATAATATTGTGAAAACCAATAAAAAATTTTTTTTGGGGGGGAAATACAGGACAAGCAAAAGTGTGAATAACAAGTTCATGTTTTAAAAAACAACAAAAAATATACATGTATTTTTCTTCTGTGAGAAAAGTGATGGGAAAATTCACTAGAAAGTGTGGGATGAATGAATGGCTAATGAGAAAACACCCCACAAGCAAATCAGGATGAATGCAGGTCATTGTCATGTAACTCCTACAAACATATCAGAACAAATCGTAGATATTTGACATAGTCGAATTGCCGTGTAAGCAAACCAGGATGACTGCTGAAAAACAAGTCATCAGGTGGAGCACTATGTGATCATGCGCACCTGGCAGAACCATCCAGATTGCGCCCCCCTAGTCAAGGGTACCCCCCCTCTGGAAGTCCTTACAGCGGTGGCACTGGCCCTTCCTTCCTTCTCCCCACCCCCACCTTCCTCACACAACTCCCCATCCCCTTTCCTCTTTCAGCAACACCAACATGAAATTTCAGTAGCCCTCTGGGTGATTTTCAGACTTGGGCGTGAGGAAAAGCCTCTCAGCCTAAAAAAAACTTGGGGGGGAGGGGAGAAGAGAAGAGGGGGAAATTATTGTTAATAATAATAATAATAATAATAATAATAATAATAATAATAATAATTTTATTTATACCCCGCCCTCCCCATCCAAGGCAGGGCTCAGGGCAGCTAACAACCAATAAAAAAAATGGATTGAAATAAAACTTAAAAAACAAGATTAAAATACATTAAAAATGCAGCCTAAAAGGTTTGCTGAGGGGTGAAGAGGCGAGGATTTGAATCTGGTTGTTCCACAGGTTGGGGAGAATGAGGTGGGAGGCTGTCCCCAATCTGAGAACAGGACAGCGCTTCCTTCTCTTCCCTCCACCGCCCCCCTCCCGCCACTAGTGTACCTCAGAGCAGTTTGTTATTGGTCCTGGGGAAGGCAGAGAGGAGGTGGGGAGGGGAAACGGGATACTTCCCCCCCCCTTTCCTTGGGCAAAGTCAGGGGACCCAAAGAGAGGCCGCCAGCGCCCGGCTGTCAAGGAAAGTGAGGAGAAACAACCCGGGAAACATTTTATTCGTGGGAGAGCGAAGCAGCCCCTGTGTGTGTCTGTCTGAGGCACTTTTTCGCGGGTGCTCTTGAGGTCCCTTCCAGGCTGGTTGAAGCGGCACATCAGTTCAAGGTGTCCAGGCACTGTTGGAGAGAAAGACTGAGGGAAGGGAAATTTCTCCGCTCACTTGCGGCCCCACTTCTCAGCTTCTTCCCCGCCACACTGCCCTCTACCTGAGAGGGTAGCTGAGAGGAGAAGCAGGGCTAGCGGGCAGATGTGGAAGGTTAGTGCAAAGAAACAGTGGACACTTTAAACACTGCAGTTTTTAAATGCCCTTCCGGGGTTCAGAACGTGTTGGTACTGCACAATTAGTATTGTCGAGTCCAATGAGGCTTGCTCCCAGGTAATTGTGTGCTGGCAGCTAATTTCAGCCAGGGTCCCAAAGTCCCAATGAATACGAGAATGTGCAGAGTGCCACCTTCTCCCACCTGTGTAGTGTCAGCTCCTATTTAGCTGAGATGGGGGGCAGAGAGGTGAATAAGAAACAGAAAAGTTTTACAGGCTTAATTCTTGTTTGTTTGACTGCTGGT